CCCCCATTTGCACAGAATTTACATGAAGTTTGGATGAACTAACAACTATGGATTTTTTTTTTAGGTTGTTTGCACAAATATATCTGATGTTGGGTCTATTTTCATATAATGGCTACCCTGGCCAACTAAAATACAAGTCGTTGCGCTTTTCCATTTCGTTTTTGGTGGGAAGCCAAATGTTCATCCAGTGTCCTCTAGTCAAGAAGTATTCCATGAAATAACCAATTTGTAGGCAGGTGCTAAAAAAAAACCGGGGATCAACTGCTTGTTTTTACCTCCCCTCCACCACCTATGTGAACTAAGCTTAAGGGGCGTTTTTATAAATAATTTGCATAGCTGTGAATGGCACAAAATCCAATGTTTTGCTCTATTGTCTAGTCTAGTCTAGTCGTCGAGTCAATCCATTTTGTTCATATAGGGGTTACCTTGGCCAACTAAGCCATTGCACCTTCCGTGTTGTTCCAAAAGTGGTTACCTTGACCAACTAAATCATTGCACCTTTCCGTTTTGTTCATATAGCGGTTACGTTGTCCAACGAAGTCGTTGCGCCTTTCCGTTTTTTTCATATAGTGGTCACCTTGACCAACTAAGCCTTTGGGTCTTTCCGGCTTGTTCATATAGTGGTTACCTTAGCCAAGTAAGTCATTGTGTTGTTCCATTTTGGTCATATAGTGGTTACCTTGGCCAACTAAATCGTTGTGCCTTTCCATTTTCTTCATACAGTGGTTACCTTGGCCAACAAAATCGTTGCATCTTTCTGTTTTGTTCATATAGTGGTCACTTTGGCCAACTAAGTTGTTGCGCATCTCCATTTTGTTCATATAGTGGTTACCCTAGCAACTAAATCATTGTACCTTTCCGTTTTGTTCATATAGCGGTTACCTTGTCCAACGAAGTCGTTGCGCCTTTCCGTTTTTTCATATAGTGGTCACTTTGACCAACTAAGCCTTTGGATCTTTCCGGCTTGTTCATATAGTGGTTACCTTAGCCAAGTAAGTCATTGTGTTGTTCCATTTTGGTCATATAGTGGTTACCTTGGCCAACTAAATAGTTGTTCCTTTCCATTTTCGTCATATAGTGGTTACCTTGGCCAACAAAATCGTTGCATCTTTCTGTTTTGTTCATATAGTGGTCACTTTGGCCAACTAAGTTGTTGCGCATCTCCATTTTGTTCATATAGTGGTTACCCTGGCAACTAAATCATTGTACCTTTCTGTTTTGTTCATATAGTGGTTACCTTGGCCAACAAAGTCATTGTGTTCCATTTTGTTCATTTAGTGGTCGCCTTGACTAACTAAGCCTTTGCGTCTTTCCGTTTTGTTCATATAGTGGTTACCTTGGCCAAGTAAGTCGTTGTTCCTTTTCATTTTGTTCATATAGTGGATACTTTGTCCAACAAAGTCATTGTGTTGTTCCATTTTCTTCATATAGCGGTTACCTTGGCCAGCAAAATCGTTGTGCCTTTTCATTTTTGCACATAGTGGTTACCTTGACCAACTAAGCCTTTGCGTCTTTCTGTTTTGTTCAAATAGTGCTTAACTTTGCCAACTAAGTCATTGTGTGGTGTTCCATTTTGGTCATATAGTGGTTACCTTGGCCAACTAAGTCATTGCGCCTTTCCGTTTTGTTCATATAGCGGTTACGTTTTCCAACGAAGTCGTTGCGCCTTTCCGTTTTTTCATATAGTGGTCACCTTGACCAACTAAGCCTTTGAGTCTTTCCGGCTTGTTCATATAGTGGTTACCTTAGCCAAGTAAGTTCCATTTTGGTCATATAGTGGTTACCTTGGCCAACTAAAGCGTTGTGCCTTTCCGTTTTCTTCATATAGTGGTTACCTTGGCCAATAGAATCGTTGCATCTTTCTGTTTTGTTCATATAGTGGTCACTTTGGCCAACTAAGTTGTTGCGCATCTCCATTTTGTTCATATAGTGGTTACCCTGGCAACTAAATCATTGTACCTTTCCGTTTTGTTCATATAGTGGTTACCTTGTCCAACGAAGTCGTTGCGCCTTTCCGTTTTTTCATATAGTGGTCACCTTGACCAACTAAGCCTTTGGATCTTTCCGGCTTGTTCATATAGTGGTTACCTTGGCCAAGTAAGTCATTGTGTTGTTCCATTTTGTTCATATAGCGGTTACCTTGGCCAGCAAAATCGTTGTGCCTTTTCGTTTTTGCACATAGTGGTTACCTTGACCAACTAAGCCTTTGCGTCTTTCTGTTTTGTTCAAATAGTGCTTAACTTTGCCAACTAAGTCATTGTGGTGTTCCGTTTTCTTCATATAGTGGTTACCTTGGCCAACAAAATTGTTGCGTCTTTCCGTTTTGTTCATATAGTGGTTACCTTGGCCAAGTAAGTCATTGCGCCTTTCTGTTTTGTTCATACAGTGGTCACCTTGGCCAACTAAGTTGTTGCGCATCTCCATTTTGTTCATATAGTGGTTGCCCTGGCAACTAAATCATTGTACCTTTCCGTTTTGTTCATATAGTGGTTACTTTGGCCAACAAAGTCATTGTGTTATTCCATTTTGTTCATATAGTGGTCACCTTGGCCAACACAATCGTTGCGTCTTTCCGTTTTGTTCACATAATGGTTACCTTGGCCAACAAAGTCGTTGTGCCTTTTCCGTTTTGTTCATACAGTGGTTACCTTGGCCAAGTAAGTCGTTGCGCCTTTTCCGTTTTGTTCATACAGTGGTTACCTTGGCCAAGTAAGTCGTTGCGCCTTTTCCGTTTTTGCTTTTTGGCGAGAAGCCGAATTTTCAGTCAATGTCTTCCAGCCAAGAAGAATTCCATAATGTAGCAATAATGTAGCGATGAATTTCTATTTCATGATGTAACCAAACACCAGAAGCAGGCGCCCCCGCGTGCCGGGATAGACGTAACGCTACCAGCGATCTCCACAGTCACGGCGTTTCCTGTTTGTGTGCCGCGGCTGAGCATACAATTTTTCACTTTCTAATTGGCTAATTAGAGCTGGCTCTGCGCGCTGTGCTCGGGCTTCTTGCAAGCAGCAATCATTTCATTAGCAATCAATAGCATGGAACATCTGGTACAGGGAGGGCACGGGGGGGCAGAGGATCCTGCAAGGAACGGGAGGGGGTGCAATGTGTTTCTTGGGTGGGCAGACAGCCAAAAATTCGATATCAGGGAAGAAAGAACGACTGGGATTTGGGAGACGCGGAGTATATCCTCCAGTCTGCTCACTGAGATTTATAGGAACGTCCTGATTTCCAGACCGCCTTCGTGACAGAATCAGAATAAAAGAAGCTGTCAAAGAGAGACTGCGAGGATTCCCTCGGCTCGGCTATACACAGGAAAAAGGAATCATGTCGGCGCTTTGAACCCGTGCAAAACATGGAGAACTTCGATCCGGCAAATCTTATTAAAGGAAAAGCGTAATACCAGCTTAAAGAACAAAAACAAGTCCCAGAAATAAATGTGAAGTCAGATAGACAATGCACTAATATCCTCCATTGTCATGGAGCTACCTAGGAGCCATTGTGCAGGATGTTGTCTAAACAGGAATGTGTGGTCCTAGGGACCTAGTGCACCCTGTAATCAGCACCCAGTAACAGATCTGGTCTGACCCCCCCCCCCATCTTCTCTGTGATCTAGGGTGCAAGTGGCTAAGTGTTCTCCGTAATAATAGTGTATGACTGTGGAGGGAGCATTAGAGTGTAAGCTCCTCTGTACAGAGACTGATGTGACTGTGGGGGAGGGGACATTAGAGTGTAAGCTCCTCTGTACAGAGACTGATGTGACTGTGGGGGGAGGGGACATTAAAGTGTAAGTTCCTCTGTACAGAGACTGATGTGACTGTGGGGGAGGGGACATTCGAGTGTAAGCTCCTCTGGTACAGAGACCGATGTGACTGTGGGGGAGGGGACATTCGAGTGTAAGCTCCTCTGGTACAGAGACTGATGTGACTGTGGGGGAGGGGACATTCGAGTGTAAGCTCCTCTGGTACAGAGATGGATGTGACTGTGGGGGGAGGGGACATTAGAGTGTAAGCTCCTCTGTACAGAGACTGATGTGACTGTGGGGGAGGGGACATTAGAGTGTAAGCTCCTCTGTACAGAGACTGATGTGACTGTGGGGGAGGGGACATTAAAGTGTAAGTTCCTCTGTACAGAGACTGATGTGACTGTGGGGGAGGGGACATTCGAGTGTAAGCTCCTCTGGTACAGAGACCGATGTGACTGTGGGGGAGGGGACATTCGAGTGTAAGTTCCTCTGGTACAGAGACTGATGTGACTGGGGGGGAGGGGACATTCGAGTGTAAGCTCCTCTGTACAGAGACTGGTGTGACTGTGGGGGGAGGGAACATTAGAGTGTAAGCTCCTCTGGTACAGAGACTGATGTGACTGGCTCAGTGTTCTTTGTACAGCGCTGCAGTATATGTCAGAGCTATATAAATGTATAATAATAATAGTGTGTGACTGTGGGGGAGGGGACATTCGAGTGTAAGCTCTTCTGGTACAGAGACCGATGTGACTGTGGGGGAGGGGACATTCGAGTGTAAGCTCCTCTGGTACAGAGACCGATGTGACTGGGGGGGAGGGGACATTCGAGTGTAAGCTCCTCTGGTACAGAGACCGATGTGACTGGGGGGGAGGGGACATTCGAGTGTAAGCTCCTCTGGTACAGAGACCGATGTGACTGTGGGGGAGGGGACATTCGAGTGTAAGCTCCTCTGGTACAGAGACCGATGTGACTGGGGGGGAGGGGACATTCGAGTGTAAGCTCCTCTGGTACAGAGACCGATGTGACTGGGGGGGAGGGGACATTCGAGTGTAAGCTCCTCTGGTACAGAGACTGATGTGACTGTGGGGGAGGGGACATTAGAGTGTAAGCTCCTCTGTACAGAGACTGATGTGACTGGCTCAGTGATCTCTGTACAGCGCTGCGGTATATGTCAGAGCTATAGAAATGTATAATAATCATGTGTTCAGTGTGTGGAATGCTGTACTCACTCCTGCCCTCTGCTGTCTGTGCACAGAATGTCCGCTGACCCTGGATGACTTCCTCCACTACAAACATCTGGTGAACCGACGTCTGCAGGAGAAGCAGCTGAGTGACGAGCTGGAGGAACAAGCCACTCTGCAGTTCTCCTCCATGGATCCGGAGAAGAAGGGACAGATAGAATGGGCCGATTTCCTTTCCCATGAGTCCATCTGCCTGCTGCAAAAACTGCGCACCCAGGTGAGCGCCCCCTACAGATCAGTGTGTGCATATCACCGCAACATCGGAGTAGAGGAGTCAGGGAGTCTCTTAGAACACCACGCTCCAGGACTTTTTTAGTGACCTATCTTCAGCCTGCATCTCGCTCTGCGTCCTTAACCCTTTCCCTGCCAGGCCTCGTGCTCCACCGTTCACTTCATTTTTGCAATTTTTTTTTTTTCAATACAGCTTTGAGAATTTAGGAAAGTCCATGCGTTCCAAAATGGAATATTAATGGAAAAAGAGATTTTTGAACGACTTTCAAACGTCATTTATCAAGTCACCATATATGCTGAGAATATTCTCATGAACGTTCTTTAACCTCTTGGCGCCGGCACCTCCCGGCCCTTTAAGAGTTTCAGAAGCTGGGAGGCGGGGCAGGGTTTTAGGGTCATGTGACCACCGTGATTTGCCATCACAGCAGTCACATGATTGTAAAAGGTCCCGATCGATCAGGACCTTTCCAGGAGTCGCAGACATATGTGCTGGGAGCGCGCAGGGCGTACGCTCTCAGCACATATGTCATTTCTAACTGCATGCAAACATGTGGCCGATTTTCACTCTGTTAGTGGGGTCAATGGCACTGGCCGATTTTTGTGGCCCCTCCCCTTTTCGGTGATCGAGCATGTTGGAAAACTCACGAAAAACTACCTATTTTCGACTCAATGATGGTCTAATCGTACGATCGTTTTTCTGAAAAGAATATGCGCCATGAGCCGTGACCTGGAAGGAACAAAAGTCTCGCCTGTTATATGGGGGGAACTTTAGGACTCGTTCGGCCGATTTTCAAAATTATTGATGGCGCCATCGGGTTACCGACCGACGTTTCCGATTTTTGGATGAAAAATCGTTCAGAATTTGACCCGTGTATGGCCTGCATTAGTCCTCACGCACACGGGACGTTTTTACAGCGGCTGTTTTTGGCTTTTGGCATTTTTTTCTACAGCCAGTAAACCCCCCAGCATGTTCTCCTATGTGTCCATACACACACAGACTGGAATCAACATTTTTTGGCTAGAGAAAAACCCAGAAATGGCAGGCTTCTGCAGGAGTTTTTTCAGCTGTGAAAACTTTCTAATGTTGAAAAATGTGGTAAAACGCAGCAAACCGTCATTTTTGGACTTTGTTTGACCAAAAAAATGTTCTTTTTTTTGTTAGATAGACGTTGAGTACAGGCCTGGAATGAGACAGCCTGGGAGTGAGGCAGGAGTTCACCTCAGGACATGCTTGAAGGTTCTACAGGTCAGGGTTCTGGAGTCCTCCCACCCTTCCAGAAATTGGAGAACATTCTGGAACAGGGGAGGAGGAGTTTGAGAGACCTTGGCCAGTCTCCTAGCAGGAGGTTGGGCATTGTGACCAGGGCAACACTCAATGCCTGGGGAGCAGGGGGAGTCACGTGGAAGATGTATTGCGAAAAGGCTGGCGTGTGGAGCCTGGGATGGGGCAGCCTGGAATGAGACAGCCTAGGAGTGAGGCAGGAGTTCACCTCATGACAGACTTGAAGGTTCTACAGGTCAGGGTTCTGGAGCAATCCCACCCTTCTAGAAACTGGAGAACATTCTGGAACTGGGGAGGAGGAGTTTGAGAGACCCTAGCAAGAGTCTGGGCATAGTGACCAGGGCAACCCTCAAATATGACAGAGCCTGGGGAGCAGGAGGAGTCACGTGGAAGATGTATTGAGAACAGGCTGGAGTGTGGAGCCTGGGAGGGGGCAGCCTGGAATGAGACAGGCTGGGAGTGAGGCAGGAGTTCACCTCAGGACAGGCTTGAAGGTTCTACAGGTCAGGGTTCTAGAGCCCTCCCACCCTTCCAGAAACTGGAGAACGTTCTGGAACAGGGAAGGAGGAGTTTGAAAGACCCTAGCAGGAGTCTGGGCATGGTGACCAGGACAACCCTCAAATATGACAGAGCCTGGGGAGCAGGAGGAGTCGCGTGGAAGATGTATTGAGAAAAGGCTGGAGTGTGGAGCCTGGGAGGGGGCCTCAGGGAGGGGAGCCTACCTACAGGCTGCTTGCTGGATGGGAGGATCTCTACTGCCTGAACATCTCCTTGGGAGGACAACCTGTTATTTGGGAAGGAGCCAGCCTAGCATAAGGCCTTAAAGCAGCCATGAATTCACCACGCTAGCAGGCGAGGACAGTGTGAGTACTGCTAAATCCCCTGGGCCGGATGAGGGGAGAGGGTGTGTCAGGTGCAAAACCCAAATAGTCTTTATTCAGGACTGCTTAACTGCAAGCGTTTGGGACCCCCTTGCTCAGGGATACCCTCAGTACAGCTGGTTTGAGAGGAGGAATCATCCGGAGTCTGAGGAGGTACAACAAAAAAAAAAGGACAGTGCTATATTTTGAAGGTTCTACAGGTCAGGGTTTTGTAGCTCTCCCACCCTTCCCGAAATTGGAGAACATTCTGGAACAGGGAAGGAGGAGTTTGAGAGACCTTGGCCAATCCCCTATTAGGAGTCTGGGCATGGTGACCAGGACAACCCTCAAAGCCTGGGGAGCACGGGGAGTCGCGTGGAAGATGGATTGACAGAAGGCTGGAATGTGGAGCCTGGGAGGGGGCCTCAGGGATGAGAGCCTACCTACTGGCAGCTTGCTGGATGGGAGGAGCTGTACTGCCTCAACATCTCCTTGGGAGGACAACCCTTTAGTTGGGAAGGAGCCAGCCTAGCGTAAGGCCTTAAAGCAGCCACAAATTCACCACGCTAGCAGGTGAGGACAGTGTGAGTACTCCTAAATCCCCTGGGCCGGATGAGGGGAGAGGGCGGTCAGGTGCAATACCCAAATAGTCTTTATCTGGGACTGCTTAACTGCAAGCTCTTGGGACCCCCTTGCTCAGGGATACCCTCAGTAGAGCTGGTTTGAGAGGAGGAATGATCCATAGTCTGAGGAGGTACAACAAAAAAAAAAAGGACAGTGCTATATTTTTATGCTAGTCCACATATTTGTACATAGTTGCTAAGTTAATCCTCAAGTTCTACAATTCCTTGGGCATCCCATACACCCCTAGACCCTATCCAAGTTTTTAAATCCTTAAAAAAAAAAAAACAGCTGAAAACCAGCTCAAGGACTGTCTACTGACTATGAGGGTACAAGTGCAGAAAATGTGTGTTGCCTAGCTGTGCTGAGCTTCAGAGGACCAAAACAAAACCCAGCGGCCCTCAAGGGGGTAGTGCTATGGAAGACATGGTTGTTTCCACACTCTGTGTTGATGATGGCCAAAAAGTCAAATGTATTCCGATGCCCTTTAATATTAGGCTGTATTTGCATTAAATGCCAGCAGTCCTGGATGTCGACCGACTGTTGGGGCATGAGGAATGATTGGCATGGCTCCGTCCTTTATTTCTGATGTATGTGATGGACATGAATACCTTATGTTATAAGAAGGCTCTATAGTTTTAATAAAAGCCAACTGTGTCTTTCCTGAACAGAATTCTCTGCTGCGGCTATTATCCACCAAGGAGCGAGAGAGAGCCCGCGGAACCTTCCTGTCCCTGGATCAGGACAATGACCAGCTGATCACCGGCAGCGAATGCCGAAGGGCGCAGCACGGATGGTTCTGCAAGCCGGCTAAAGAGGCAGCTTCATGTAACGTAAGGTAAGAAACAATGGTGGCGCCGTGCATTCATAACAATCCAAACTTCAATCAAATGTGCAGATCAAGGATTGCACACTAACAATAACATTGGCCAATCACCAGCGAGAGGGCCCAGCATCGCTCGTTCCACTATCTGCCTTACTTTACAATCAGATTGTCCAATCTACTACTTGCCGGTAAATTCTTATAGCAACACCATTGTGAGTCTAATGCCTATGGCAAGCACTGCCCCCTTCAAAATCCATACCACAACCCTTTTCCTTAATGAAGGTCCTGTTATGGATTTTAAGGTGGAACCCCATGCAAAAAAACGTTTGTGGTCTTCACAAAATCCATACTAGACCCCTGTGGTCTGGTATGGATTTTAAGGCGGAACCCCATGCAGAAAAAAGTGTGTGGTCTTCACAAAATCCATACTAGACCCCCTGTGATCTGATATGGATTTTAAGGCGGAACCCCATGCAGAAAAAAAGTGTGTGGTCTTCACAAAATCCATACCAAACTCCTGTGGTCTGGTATGGATTTTAAGGTGGAACCCCATGCAGAAAAAAGTGTGTGGTCTGCACAAAATCCAAACTAGACCCCTGTGGTCTGTTATGGATTTTAAGGCGGAATCCCATGCAGAAAAGAAGTGTATGGTCTTCACAAAATCCATACTAGACCCTGTGGTATGGATTTTAAGGTGGAACCCCCATGCAGAAAATGTGTGTGGTCTTCACAAAATCCATACTAGACCCCTGTGGTCTGGTATAAATTTTAAGGTGGAACCCCATGCAGAAAAAGTGTGTGATGTTCACAAAATGCATACTAGACCTCGGTGGTCTGGTATGGATTTTAAGATGGAACCCAGTTGAAAAAAAAAAAGTTACCCCCTAACAACGCATCTTGTTCCATTGCTGATGAAGACACTGGCCACTGTGGGGTTCTGTTGGAGGAGGCTTACCGAAATCTGGAAGCCCCCTTTAAAATAAGGTGATCTCCAGATATCCATCCCCGAGGAAAATGAATTTTAAGGTGGACCCCCATGCAGAAAAAGTGTGTGGTCTTCACAAAATCCATTCTAGACCCCTGTGGTCTGGTAGGGATTTTAAGGTGGAACCCCATGCTGAAAAAAAGTGTGTGGTCTTCACAAAATCCATACTAGACCCCTGTGGTCTGATATGGATTTTAAGGTGGAACCCCATGGTGAAAAAAAGTGTGTGGTCTTCACAAAAACCATACTAGACCCCTGTGGTCTGGTATGGATTTTAAGGCGGAAACCCCATGCAGGAAAAAAAAAGTGTGGTCTTCACAAAATCCATTCTAGACCCCTGTGGTCTGGTATGGATTTTAAGGTGGAGCCCCATGCAGAAAAGGTGTGTGGTCTTCACAAAATCCATACTAGACCCCTGTGGTCTGATATGGATTTTAAGGTGGAACCCCATGGTGAAAAAAAGTGTGTGGTCTTCACAAAAACCATACTAGACCCTTGTGGTCTGGTATGGATTTTAAGGTGGAACCCCATGCAGAAAAAGCATGTGATCTTCACAAAAAACATTCTAGACCCCTGTGGTCTGGTATGGATTTGAAGATGGAACCCCATACAGAAACAAGTGTGTGGTCTTCACAAAATCCATACTAGACCCCTGTGGTTTGGTATGGATTTTAAGGTGGAACCCCATGCAGAAAAAAAATGTGTGGTATTCACAAAATCCATACTAGACCCGTGGGGTCTGGTATGGATTTTAAGGTGGAACCCCATGCAGAAAGAAGTGTGTGGTCTTCACAGAATCCATACTAGACCCCTGCGGTCTGGTATGGATTTTAAGATGGAACCCAGTTGAAAAAAAAAAAGTTATCCCCTAACAAAGCATCTTGTTCCATTGCTGAAGAAGACACTGGCCACTGTGGGGTTCTGTGGGAGGAGGCTTATCAGAATCTGGAAGCCCCCTTTAAAATAAGAGGATCTTCAGATATCCATCCCCAAGGAAAACGGGGAGATTTTTGCCAAATAATGTACAGTAAATAGTCAATAAAAACACACAAGGCCTTGTCAAAAAAAAAGGGAAAAAAAAGAAGAAATGTCCCACAATGTAAATCCATCATCAGTTATATAGTACTGCAATGCAGATCCACATCAATCACAGTGAACGACACTCCCAGAATAAAAAAAACACTCTGAGACCCGAACGTTCCTTCCCAATGCTGCACCTCCTCCCAGAATAAAAAAAAACACACTGAGACCCGCACGTTCCTTCCCAATGCTGCACCTCCTGCCAGAATAAAAAAAACACACCGAGACCCGCACGTTCCTTCCCAATGCTGCACCTTGGTGAAGGACAGTTCCTCGTTTACAGCTGAAATGTAAACAGATGGGTGGAGGGTGGTGTCCAATGCCACTGACCAAACATGGACATGTCCATGCTCTCCCCATGCTGGTGAAAAAGGAAGTATGAGATGAAACAAACTAAAACCCAACACCAGTTAATGTGTTAAGCAGTTGCAGTAACTTTTTTTTCGTTTCTTGTTTCTTTTTGAAAAAAAAAATTAAACCATGTAGCACTGGCCCCTTTGGGGAGCTGCTGGATCTTTTACACATTCACCTGCCTTTCCAACAATGATTTGCCCTGAAACTCATTCCTGATACTCACCACCCCACCAATGGTGACAAGCAGATCCTTTAATCCTTTTCTTGCAGTTTTTTGGGCTCAGTTGTCTTGGGGGAGAGGATGAGTGGTACAGGATACCCAAAAACAGAAACCTCTCCTCTCACTGAACTTGCCCAAGAATTCTTTAGGCTTGGATGCACTACTATCTTGCCGTATCCATAGCTCCCTGATTTTGAGGGACTGTCCCTGATTCGGAACAAAGTCCCCCTATCCCTCTTTCCTCCTCATTTGTCCCTCATTTTGGTCTGATCTATATACTTGTATATAAAAGGCACTATTTATCTTTCAAAAAGGGTTTCACAGTGCTAAACCCTTCATCCAGTTTCTACATTTCTGCTTTGGTAAATTCAAAAACCAGTATAAAGGAATAGTAGTAGTTGAAAAAAGCACGTGTGGGTTTAACCCCTCGCCTACCGGGCACTCATATACCCCCTTCCTGCCCAGGCCAATTTCCAGCTTTCAGTGTTGTCGCACTTTGAATGACAATTGCGCGGTCATACAACACTGTACCTATATGAAATTCATATAATTTTTTTCACACATACAGAGCTTTCTTTGGTGGTATTTAATCACCATGGGGTGTTTTATTTTTTGTGCTATAAACAAAAAAAGAGCAAAGCATTTGAAAAAAAAAGTTTTTCTTTGTATCTATTATAAAATTTTGCAAACAGGTAATTTTGCTCCTTCACTGATGAGGCTGCACTGATAGGCAGCACTGATGGGCACGGATATGCAGCACTGATGGGCACTGATGAGGTGGTATGGATAGGCAGCACTGATGGGCACTGATAGGCAGGACTGATGGGCACTGATAAGCAGCACTGATGGACACGGATAGGCAGCACTGATGGGATCTGATGAGGTGGCACGGATAGGCAGCACTGATGGACATTGATAGGAGGCACTGATGAGCTGGCACTGATGATGCTGCAGTGAGTGGCACTAAAGGGCACAGGTGGGTGGCACTGCTGAGTGGTACAGGTGGGTGGCACTGCTGAGTGGCACAGGTGGGTGGCACTGACGGGCACGTGAATGGCACTGATGGGCACAGGTGGGTGGAACTGATGGGTACAGGTTGGTGGCACAGGTGGGCGGCACTGCTGGGGACTGATCATCAGGGCACTGACCATCCCTGAGCTGATCCCTTCATTGACAATTGCTGATTATCGGCAGTACTTTCCTCATGCTGTGACAGCGTGAGGAAATTGCAGCTGATAACCGGCAACTGTATTTACCTGATGATCGCTGTGTCTTCGGACACAGCTGATCATGTGGTAAAAGGCCGCCGTGATTGGCACTAGGGCACAGCGGTCACCGGCAGGGCTAGGTGCACACCACTGGGGGCGTGCGGGGGAGGGGAGCGTGTCCTGGAATTACGTCCATGGACGTCGTCCCAAGATTACACAACCACGTTGTAGCCGTCCTTCAGCTATAGCACAGTTGGGAACTGGTGAACTAATCCTTTTTTTTTAAATAATTCTCCTTTAAGGGGGCATGGCAGGGGGTATGTTCTATGCCTACATACTTTTGCCAATAGGTGACCCTCATTCTTATAGCAAGTTGGGAGGTATGCCATATCTTTGACCTCTGCCACAGGTTACCATTAGACCTCTTCAGACTCCTGCCGTAGCTATACAAGTTTTGTAGGCCCAGATGGATGGCTACCCTTTCGTATGTACTCTCACACTTCCCACCAGCACATCCAGAGTTCCTTGTAGCAATGCTGGACTTTTCCTCTAATCAGGAAGGGTATTTAAGCCCCAGCCTTTGAAGTGATTGGTGCTGTGTTTTATCTCCAGCTACCCTTGTGGAAACAGCTATTATACTCATCTGTGAAACTGCTTGACCTTTGGTGACCTAGACTGATCCTACTACTGTCTTGATTACTTCCTGCCTTGGACCCCTGCCTGGACCTGACAACTCACCTGTTGGATGCCTGCTAAAACCCTTGCCTGGGCCTAACTACTCTCTTGCTTGCTGCCTGCATTGACCCCCAACTAGACCTGACTATTTTCCTGCCTGCCGCCTAGTGTACAGCCTCTACGGCCTTTCTGTTCTGTTCCTGCACTCCCCTTGGAGGGGCAAATCTGAAGCTTCCAGATCATAGAGAGGGAGATTCAAATGACCAGACTAAACATTTATTATGGCCTGGCCAATCCCTGGACAGGGGTATCCAGAAGGTGGCTGGGGAGACAATAAATAGTTTGAAGCTCTGTGGGTGGTTCCAAAGACTCAGGAGCTGCTGTCCTGAGGCATCCTGTGGATTGTGTAGCTTTTCTTGAGGTCTTAGTGGTGTCAGGGCTGAGGGCCTGGAGTAAACTTCTGAGGAGCTGGCAGTGGGATCAGGTCTAGAAAAGGATCATCTCCCTCGATGGTCCAGAGGAAGCTAGCAGCCAGGCAACTGGAATTTTTGGAAGGAGAGGCCCAATCACTGCAGTTTTCTCCATAGTTTTCTTCTAAGGCAATTAGGTTCAATGTACTTTCAGACTCCTTGTATCTGTAGCTAAAAAGCATTTTAGTCATTTTGAGTGGAGTAGGGAGGGATAAGTGTTCGGTTGGCTATGAAAACGTTGTAACTCTTTCCATCTTTCTTGTTTACCATCAGTATTAGCCATGTTGGGCCGATGTCAGAGAGCAGTCCAGCCAGCAGCACTAGCGGAAAAAGCCAAGAGAAGATCCCTCTTGCCACAGAGTCCGATGACAGCAGGTGAGAGAACATGTCACGTCATATATTGCCAGAGGTATTTCAGAGGAGCGCCAGCTAAGACTCTATTTATCTTATTTTGGATGGAGCAGGGAGGGGTTAGAACTTTGTGAGTTTATTTTTCAAACTATAGACAAACATAAAAGGGTGCCAGACCAGAAGATCAAAGCATCCAAGATGAAACCAACAAGTTTTGGGGCTACAAGACTCCTCCTTCTTTAGGGCTTAAATCAAGGGTAGGTAACCTCGTTACTCCAGCGGCTGTAGAACTACAAGTCTCATGAGGCATTGTGAGATTCTAAAAGTCACAGATATGACTCCTGGGCAGGGGCGGACTGACCATTTGGAAACGCGGGCACTGCCCTAGGGCCGGGGTCAGTAGGGGGCCCCATGTGATGCCCATGGTACCTTTTTCATAGGCTTTTTTGAGTTTGGGCAAGGACACAGGGGCCCCATGATCCCCTATTGCCCGGGGGCCCCATAAGTTGTCAGTCTGCCCCTGCTCCTGGGGCAGAGGCATAATGGGATTTGTAGTTTCAGCACAGCTGTAATGCTGAGATCGCCTACCCCTGGCTTAGATAGTGAAATTAGGACTTGAATGGGTTAAAAGGTTACCACAGCCAAATGGATCTATTAGATCACTTTACACTCTCCTATATGGACTGCAGAAATGTTGTTAATGGCAGTTGGAACCCTAAGAACAATGTTATCTTCCTTCTGTAAACTAATAATGTAGGTCAGTTGAGTACCTCCAAACCAAACTGGTCCAACCATGTCTTTATGGAGCAAAATTGCTCTATAGGGTTGGCATCAGGGCACTTGTAGGCCAGTTGAGTTTCTCCACACCAAAGTGGTGTTCAGTAGGGTTGAAGTCAGGGCTCTGTGCAGGCCATTCAGGTTCCTTAGGGGGTAGGGTTGACTGGGTTCAAAGAATATAGTAGTAAAATGGATCTATATTAGATCACTCTACACTCTCTTATATGGACTTCAGAAATGTGGTTAGTGGAACTCTACCAAAAATGTTATTTTCCTTCTGTAAACTAATATTACCCCCCCATCCTTCATATAATGGAGATATGGAGATAAAATGAGGAAGACATGTTCAGCCTTGGTGACAATCATGTCTCCCTCCAAAGATATGAAGGAATAAGTGAACTTTGCCACCCTTGAACAAGAAGCGTGAAAAAAAGCCCTGAAAAATGAATACTAATGCAGCTGCCACATCTAAGGATTGATAAACTGCTTAATATATTTTTTTTAGCTTTTTGGTTCAGGTATGCTTCAATAGGCAGTCAGAGAGTGGGAATTCGGGAGAGGAGTCACTGCTTTGACTCTGTTAGGGCTTGTTTACACTTAAGGAGAGGTAAAAATAGGCGGTTTTTACCACCCTCTTTGAGTCGCAAAGGCAGGGTTGTACACATGCCATTGCAAAAATGATGCCCCGTGTCAAGTGCATGGGGCCATACTTCAAATGCCTTACAGCCATGAGCAATGCACACAGTTTTGGCTTGGTGGTGTGGGCTTTATAGGATTAAACAGGTGGTGAGGAGGTGGCAAGGTCTACCGCAAATGTAAACTTGGCCTTAGTTATAGCTTAAGCTAGAGCAACAGAGCTCTGAAAATAGTAGATTTTTTCTCATCAGAGGAGAACAGAGCCCAAAAAACTGATAAAAAAGAAAATCCACCTGCTGGTAGATTTGAGAAGACAAGCCACTTTTAAGTTCTTTAGAAAGCAGAAAAGTCTGTTCTCTGCCAGCCTGCTGCAGAGGAGTGCCATTGCTGTCCCTGTGGAAGCAGTGGTCTCTCTACAGAGGTCTTACACACCCCCTCCTTGTTCAACTATGGCCACCATTAAAAATCATTGGACAGCCAATCCCCCCCCCCCTTCCGATGTGAGAGATACTCCAGCTGCCTTGGTGTTCACAGCCCTTGCTTGGGGCCTGCACCTTGACCCTTCCTCCTCCATTCCTGGTAAGAGACATAAAAAAGCTGATTTGCCTTTTCAGTGCATTGCAAATACTGAAGAATGTGCTGCCTTCTGCTGTTCCAAGACAAATGTCCCATAATGCACCAGTTATTGCTCTATTATTATTATTATACAATATTTATATAGCGCCAACAGTTTGCTCAGCGCTGTACATTATAATGGGAGACAGCACACGAGACAGTACAGTAACAATACAATACAATACACGAGGGGTTTTAGGGCCCTGCTCCTTGGAGCTTACAATCTAGGAGGGAGGGGAGAGTGGTACAGGAGGAAGTGGATGTGGGGGATGTAGTGGTTGGAAGAGCGGAGGAGATCGGCAGTTAGGTGAGGGCGGGGTAGGCTTCTCTGAAGAGGTGGGTTTTCAGGGTGCGCCTAAAGGTGAGGAGGGAAGGTGACAGTCTGATGGATTGGGGTAGTGAGTTCCAGAGGATAGGGGAAGCCCTGGAGAAGTCCTGGAGATGGGCATGGGAGGAGGACACCAGGGAACTAGAGAGAAGGAGGTCTTGTGAGGAGTGGAGAGTGCGTTATGGGTGGTATTTGGGTATCAGGTCAGTGATGTAGTTTGGGGCAGCGTTATGAACAGCTTTGTACGTCAATGTTAATATTTTGAATTTTATGCATTGGGCAATCGGAAGCCAGTGGAGGGATTGGCAGAGGGGGGAGGCGGATATGGAGCGGCTGGTAAGGTGGATGAGTCTGGCCGCAGAATGCAGGATAGACTGAAGCAGGGATAGCCTGTGTTGGGTAGGCCGGCGAGGAGGGAGTAACAGCAGTCAAGTCGGGAGATGATAAGGGAGTGAATGAGTTGCTTTGTAGTTTCGGGAGTTAGGAACGTGTGTATTTTGGAGATGTTGCAAAGGGGTGGAGTCTGCATGAATTTGTCAGCGATTGGATCTGGGGCTGGAAAGACAGATTGGAGTCTAGAATGACACCTAGTACGCTGGCTTGCGGGGTGGGGCTGATGGTGGCGTTGTTGGTCATGATGGTGAGGTCGGGGGGGGGGGGGGGGCAAACTAGGAGCTCAGTTTTGGCAAGGTTTAATTTGAGGAAGTGGAGTGACATCCAATCTGTTCAGAAGGCTAGTGATTCGGGCAGAGACTGAAGGGGTGAGGTGAGGGGTAGAGAGATAAATTTGAGTGTCATCAGCATAGAGATGGTAGTTGAAGCCGTGGGAGCTTCCAGTTGGGTGCTTCATAGCAAATATCTCCCTCTCATCCACTGCCAATTGATTTCAGGGGGAGGGGAGGGTAAGCAGAGATGAGATTACACTGCCTTCTGCTGAAATGATGCTGCAGTGTGACCACCCACAGGCAGTCCTTGCCAGACCCGGGCCCACCTGTACTCCTTATCAGATGACATGAGTTCAACTAGATATTATGTAATAAAAAAGTAAAACAAAAAATAAAAGGGGTAAACCTTCCCGGCCTCCTTTACATTTTGATAGCGAGAACTACCTCCACCTCTATTTCATCAGTTACACTTATCGTGACTATAATTACTAGATGTAGCGGCTGCATATGACTGAGCTTTAATTTATGACTGCGCGTTGAAATGTTGTAAAGACCTCGCTACAGCTAAATTATACAGCTCGTAAAAATGTGACTGTTGGAAATGCGAACTTAATCGGAGATCGGTGCCAGACGTGACAGCGGGGAAGAAACTATAAAACAAGGCGATGATAACTGACACTACGAGGGAGGAAAGACAGCTGGCACATTGCAGTGTGCCCCAGGAGCTTAGATGTTTGTGTCCTGAGTTCCGGAGGACGGGTGTGCAAGTTGGGGGTCTTGGTGACTTCATCATTCGGTAACTGGTGGCTTTCTTAATGTGGATCTTTACATGCCATGGCTGTGTGTGACTTGGCTTTCAATTATATGTGCCATTTAGCAGAGGACATTGGAAATCCCACCATGCAAAGCATCAATTTGCCCCCTGGTTTCAACTTACTCTTAGAGCATGGAGGTTTACAACTGGAGATTTATCCAACACTGAAAGCCTGAAAATTGCTGACAAAGGAAGAACAACTTTCCTTCAGTCTTGTACAGTTGTACCTGTATTGAAATTTCTTACTCTGATTTCACTGCACACTGTGAGCTTCTCAAGATGTGCATTTGAAGCTTCAGCTCCTGGCTGGAGGACATCCAGCATCATTGTACCTTACCTTCCCCTTTCATTCATTGGATTTTAATTTCTTCAATAATGAAGGCTCAGCATCACATGTTGTCATTACCTAGGGCCAACAACATGCAAATGCAGCCTGCTTAGGTCTAAAGCAAGGTTCATAATGAAAACAGGTTTTATATAAAAAATGTCATTAGCATGATGATGAGGGGTGAGGGAAGAGCAAGGGAAGGCAAGATTATACTTCAGTTTTACCAGTAAATGCTCAATTTTTTTGTTAAAGCATTGGGCCAGGTACTGATGTTGCTTGGGAAAAGCAGTGTTCATCCAAAAAGTGCTCAGTAGGGTTGAGGTCAAGATTCTGTACAGACTACTCCAGTTCCTCCACAACAAACTGGTCCAACCATGTCTTTTTAGAGCAAAGGTGTTCAGTAGGGTTGAGGTTATGGCTCTGTGAAGGCCATTCAGGTTTCTCCACACCAAACTGGTACAAAGATGTCTGTATTGAGCAAAAGGTGCTCAGTAGGGTTGAGGTCAGGGCTCTGTGAAGACTTCTCTGGTTCCTAAACACCAAACTGGTCCAACCGTATCTTTATTGAGCAAAGGTGTTCTGTAGGGTTGACTTTAGTGCCACTTGTAGGCCAACTGAGTTTCTCTACACCAAATTAGTCCAACCATGTTTTTATGGATGGCGCAATTGTTCAGCAGGGTTGAGGTCAGGGCTCTGTGCAGGCCTCTCAGGTTGCTCCACATCAAACGTTTTTTATAGAGCTGGCTTTATGTACTGGGGCACATTTTTTTTGTATTTATCAAATGATCAAAGGGTCAAACATCTTAGATCATAATAGTGCAAAGAAGTCCCCAATACAGCTAAAGTCAACGGGAGTATTAAGGCCAATGTTATACATAATACATGCACCCTACTTAGCTTTCCATTGTTCAAAGACCTGGGTCTTGCTAACATGCAGAGAGAAAAACTCGCATCAGGGGAAATGCTATCCTTTTCTCCTCCAACCAAAGCATCTAGCCACCTAGACCACGTCAAAGCAAAGTTCTTAGACACCCCTCATTTCTTATATTTACGTTTTTGATTAGGAGATTAATTCATTCAGCTCTTAGATCCAGCCTCTAACAGAGGGAGGTGTGCTTGATACTCATCTCAGTACAGTGAACTTACATGCTGCAAGTAGAGATCTGGTAACTGTATGGACAGTATGTGTATCTAAATTGGATTGTAGGCAGGTGCAATCTATTTTCTCCACTGCAGGTAGCGCACAACTACAATGGCATTGCAGAATGAGAGAAAATCAAAGGGAACATGATCTTCCATGGTTCCTGGGTCACTGGAAAAGCGATCTGGTTGGATGCTGCTGCCCCATGTGACTCTGGCTGCCATTGAGGGTCTATTTAAGACCCTGGCTCCCAGGCTCGGCATACATTTTGTGAGTGGGTAGTTTAAGGACAGGTCACCTGTCTGTCAGGGAACGTGAATAGCAGAAGGGATAGGTTCTGGAAGCCTCCCATTTTTGTACAGACTGACCAGGCCACATTACTCTCTCTAATACAGATGCCGATGGCACATCTGAGACTTGCTCCATTCCACATGGCTGTTACAACCTGTGAGTGTTCCAGGATGGGTGCCTTCCCATCAGGCTGTTTATAAAGTTGAACTTTGGCTTTAATACAAGTTCTGCTTCCTGCAAATGGACTCTGTGTATTTACTGCAGAAGGTATGCAGGATCAAAACTACAGTAGACAGATGGGCATGTGGGTGGGTGCAGTGTGGGGCGGTGGCAGTGGACACACTAAGTCTGATTGCAATTAACAAAACTTGTATTGGAGAAATGGTTTAAAGATACAAACAGCCCAGTGGGGGAACACCTAGCTGAGAGCACTCACATTTCTGTGCAATAATGTAAAGTGGAGCAGGTTCTGATGCACCGACAGCATCTGTCTCCAAGGGCGGAGTTCAACCTGGCCAGTCTGAGCCCAATGGGGAGGATTCCTAAGAAGGATAGCATGTCCCTATCCTTTTCCCTACTCATCTGGAACCTTTTCCTACCGGTATTCACTTTTCCTGCCAGACAGGTAACCTGTCCCTGCACTGTCCACTCGCAAAATGTATGCCAAGCCCGGGAGCCCAGGCCTTAAACAGACTCTATGTGACCCAAGATGGCCACCAGAGTCACACAGGACAGCGATATCCAACCAGATAGCTTCCCAGTGACCCAGAAAATCATAGAGGAACACATTCTTCCTCTCCCTGCTTCTGTGGCTTGGATGCCACCTGTGGAGAAGAAAAGAGACTACACTTGCCAGCAAGAATCCTTGTGTAAAAACCCTAAATTATACTATAGATTCAACCACTTTAGCTACAAATGTAATTACACTTGATTTTGACGCCTTTCAACATCTTTATCTTTACAGACAAGTCAGCTGGGACACCTTCCTGAAGAAGAATGTCATTTTCATTCTTGCTGCTCGGCCAAACAGTTCTGCCATCCATCTAAAGCCATCAATATAAATAACAAGAGGCATAGTCATGGCCAACAAGAAGACCCTGAACATGGTCAGTTGAATGACATAATGCAAGGAATGTGTGTTTTAGCAGAATGAGACACTGTCAGGCTGACCTGAAGATTACAGAAGATTGATTTGCCCCAAAATTGTCTTCCCGTATGAGCCCTTCACCCTATAACTGTATTTTTATGATCACCAAGATCCAAATGATAGATCTAGACATTGGATTGACCTTCTGAAGACTCTCATCCAGCAACATCCCCTCTGTTAAGGTTTAGAGTTCACGGACCGTGTCACTCATTATTTATTTCCCAAGGATGTGAAAGGGATAGGGGGCTCGAAATGATGACTTGACTTGTGCTGAAATTTATGATTCAGGCTTTTCCCTTTCCTTTTGGGTCTAACTATTTTGTCCTTGGTTATAGAATTGCTAATTTTGGGGGGGGGTTGGGTTATATCATACAAAATATATTTAATGCCTAGTCTATAGTAGTTTGTTTTGCAATTTTTGCTTTCAGCTGTAAAAACTGTTTAATGAAATGTTTATATATGTAACAAAAAGGGATTTACATTTTTTAAATCATAGGCAGGCCTCCATTACTGCAAAAAACGACTGCATTTTATAAGTAGTTTCCAAGTGCATACATATACAAAGACCTTATATTGACTGTTATCATCATTACCATTCGCAGGGTAACTAGACTTGTTGAGATTTTGCCACTTCTCTTCCTTTAGGTATTCCAAGGTATTTCCTGGCATACTGCGAAGGTATAATCCCAAAATTTTGGATTGGCCTATGGCCTTTTATTAAGTTGACATACTTGGAACCACTTTATTGGGAGCCTTCAGAAGACATTAATATAGCATGTCCAAACCATGTCACCTGTCATCTTAGAAGTTCTACCTTGAGAAGCATCTAGATCACAAAGACTCTTACCCTTCTCTTAGATGGGCAGAAGGTTTCATCGTTGCTGCTTGTACTTGTTCTTTAATTCATTACCCATTGCTCTTGATCATAGGTGAAGACAGGGAAGTAGTATGGCCATTAAAATGGAAGCCTTGTCCTAAAAGGCAAATCTCGCTTCCCTGCCAAAGACTAGCACAACCAAACTATAGCCTTTGAACTAAACCACTTGTCAATCTTATATTCTCACTTTCTAACATGCATGAACTTGATCCCGAGATTCAGGACTTCTCCAACAGAAGCCAGTGACGGAACTCCGTGGTTTCAGATTTAGAATGCTCACCTACCATCTTCTCTAAGTTGAAGTTTACAGTCAGGTGGATCCAAGAGGACAAGAGGTGTAATTCTTTTTATGTCATAGAAATACACAACAGATTGTACTTCTGTGAATATTCATGTTAAAACTGGTGGGCTGTGATTTGAATTCACTAGCCAGAAAACTACTTTGTCTACTGTTCCTTTTTCGCATTTTGGATTGTCTTAGATACACAGGGATTTTTTGAATATATGATTATATCTGAAGCATCGGATTGTTGTACCAAGTTAGCCCATAAGCTAATCGACAATCTCTACTCACGGTGAAAGGTTTTGAAAGATTTTTTTAGAAAAGTTATAGAGTAAAAGTAATGATTAGAAAGTAGAGAGATCGATAAAAAAGTTCCTCGCAGACAAGGCAAGTGTAAAGCTAAGAACCTGATCTCTTGACCAAAGTGAGTGTAAGGCTTTTACTCTCCAGTCCTGGACAGTTGCCATGGAGGACCTCCCAAAAGTAGACCTTTAACTTTTACCTAAATCAGAGTTCCACCTGAAAAAAAAAAAACCAAAAACTGTAGCTGCTGACTTTTAAAATACCGGCACTTACCTGTCCCTCGGTTCCAGCGGTGTCCTCACCACCACTGGTTTCACCAGCCGTCTTCTCTCCCTGGTGCCCGCATCTTCAGTGTGGGCACCCGGCTGGGACAGCTTGCGGCTTCATAGCCAGGTGACCACTTGGCAGGCACAAGAAGCGCTGCGCTTTGTGAATGGCCCCCTAGTCTTCTGGGATCTGTCACATGTCCCAGAAGTCTATGGGGGGGGTTTTCCAATCTTAGGTGACCGTAGTGGAAGTGGGAGCGGGTACCCAAAGGTTTAGGGTTCATAAGTTGGTGCATTCGCAGCTGGTTATAATTAACAATTTTTATCATTAATTTATCATTATTTATTGATTTTCTCGCTACATCCCTGACAGTTTTTGAAATACATTTTGCATTGATGCAAATCACACCGCAAAGTATCGGTTTCAGGTATCGGGAGCATTTTCATGGGAACGAGTCCTCATGAAAATACTCTATATCAGCACCAATACCGATACCAGTATCAGTATTGGTGCATCCCTACCCTTTATACTCCTCTCCTCCACAATAATGCCTGTCATCATATTCTTTACATTCCTCTCCTCCACAATAATAGCCATCATCATACCCTTTACACTCCTCTCCTCCACATAATACCCGCCATCATACCCTTTACCCTCCTCTCCTCCACATAATACCCGCCACCATACCCTTTACACTCCTCTCCTCCACATAATACCCGCCACCATACCCTTTACACTCCTCTCCTCCACAATAATACCCGTCATCATACCTTTTACCCTCCTCTCCTCCACAATAATACCCGTCATCATACCCTTTACACTCCTCTCCTCAACATACTGTCCGCCATCATACCCTTTACACTCCTCTCCTCCACATACTGCCCACCATCATACCCTTTACACTCCTCTCCATGGTGTTGCTGACCAGTCAAAAGCCATCTAGCCCATACTGTCATCCCTGAGAGGAAAGAAAGCCAAGGGGAGTTCAAATCCCATGGGATCTGTGCAGGGAAGTTTCCTGCACCACTCCTGTGTGAATTCAGGTTATAACAAGCCTGGGTTCACACAGGGATAGCGGAGAAACTGCATGCGATTTGGACAGAAGTCACATTTCTGCTGAAATCGTATGCTATTCTTTGCGGTGCAATTTGCGTTCATAAATTTTGTATTGATGCAAATCGCACTACAAAGTATCGGTTTCAGTTATCAGGAGCATTTTCATGGGAAGGAGTTCTCATGAAAATACTCTATATGAGCACCAATACCAATACCAGTATCAGTATTGGTGCATCCCTACCCTTTACACTCCTCTCCTCTACAATAATGCCCGTCATCATACCCTTTACACTCCTCTCCTGTACATACCGCCCACCATCATACCCTTTACACTCCTCTCCTCCACAATAATAGCCGTCATCATACCCTTTACACTCCTCTCCTCCACAATAATAGCCATCCTCATACCCTTTACACTCCTTTCCTCCACAATAATGCCCATCATCATACCCTTTACACTTCTCTCCTCCTCAATAATGCCCATCATCATACCCTTTACACTCCTCTCCTCCACAATAATAGCCATCATCATACCCTTTACACTCCTCTCCTCCACAATAATAGCCATCATCATACCCTTTACACTCCTCTCCTGTACATACCGCCCACCATCATACCCTTTACACTCCTCTCCTCCACAATAATGCCCGTCATCATACCCTTTACACTTCTCTCCTCCACAATAATAGCCATCATCATACCCTTTACACTCCTCTCCTCCACAATAATAGCCATCATCATACCCTTTACACTCCTCTCCTCCACAATAATAGCCATCATCATACCCTTTACACTCCTCTCCTGTACATACCGCCCACCATCATACCCTTTACACTCCTCTCCTCCACATAATGCCCGTCATCATACCCTTTACAATCCTCTCCTGTACATACCGCTCGCCATCATACCCTTTACACTCCTCCTTTACACATAATGCCGCCTATCATAACTTTGGACTCCTCTCTTGCATATACTACCTATCAACATTCCCTCCAAGTTCCTCTCCTGCACATACTGGCCACCATATACCCTTTACACTCCTCTCTCTCCCCATACTGCCTACCATCATACCCTTTAAACTCCTCTCCTCCCCATACTGCCCACCATCATACCCTTTACACTCCTCTCCTCCCCATACTGCCCACCATCATACCCTTTACACTCCTCTCCTCCCCATACTGCCCACCATCATGCCCTTTACACCCCTCTCCTCCCCATACTGCCCACCATCATACCCTTTACACTCCTCTCCTCCCCATACTGCCCACCATCATACCCTTTACACGCCTCTCCTCCACATAATACCCGCCATCATACCCTTTACACTCCTTTTCTGCATTAAAAACCAAAAAAGCACACAGGGACTTTAGTGGTACCAGGGAAGACACACTCATAAAAACTTAATTCAGTTTATTACATAATTAAAAATGAACAGAATTTCAAATCAAATGGGAAATCAATCCCAGACATGTACTTACATCTCTAATAGTAGCATATTCAGAATATGGAATTCAGATAACCTCCTTGCCTGAAACCATCTAACAGGCCAACGCGTTTCACATACAGTAATGCTTCTTCAGGACCTTTTATTCTTGGAGACAATAATGCACATTTTATTATCTAAAAATTTGGGTAAATATCAGAAGATTTCAGCAAGATTTCTCACTGAATGCAATGGGAACATGAAGGTTTTGAAGATTTTCATGGGTGTAATGGACTTTATTATTATTATTATTATTATTATTATTACATCGAGTTTATATAGCGCCAAAGGGTTTGCTCAGCGCTGTACAATAGGGGGGGACAATACATGGCACAGTACAACAATAACAAACAACGTACAAGGGGTAAGAGGGCCCTACTCTTTCGAGCTTACAATCTAGGAGGGAGGGGGTAAAGGTACAGTAGGAAGTGGCTGAGGGGAATGAGGGGTGGGAGGAAAGAGGGAGAATGGCCATTAGGTGAGGGTGGGGTAGGCTTCCCTGAAGAGATGGGTTTTGAGGGAGCGCCTGAATGTGAAGAGGGAAGGCGACAGTCTGATGGATTGGGGCAGTGAGTTCCAGAGGATGGGGGAGGACCTGGAGAAGTCCTGCAGTCGTGCATGGGAGGAGGAGACCAGGGAGCAGGA